AATAATTGTATAAGAAAATATTTGTTATATTTAGATACATAAAAAAATTTTTTTTCTCAATTTAAATAAAATTTTTTATTTTTTTAAACCAGTTTTTACATATAATTATATATATATAATTTTATAATTTAATTGAAAACAATTTTTTTATTTAAAAAATAAAACTTTAAATAATAATAATAATAAATTAATAAAAGTATCTTGTAACAAACTTGTTTCTAAAATATTAAAAAAAATATCTAAGAAATTTTATATAATTTAAATCAATAATTATAAAATTATAATCAAATACATGTATATAATCATTATTTTTTATAAACACCACTATATACAGTCAAACCTGGATATAACAAAGCCTTTGGGTTAATTAGTAAAAGTTGAAAAAAATTGTTTAAAAATTCATTATAAAGAATTTTTAAAAATTTATATAATAAAATTCTCTTTTTATAATGAATTTTGAGTAAATTCAAAATTCAAAAATTCGTTATAATCAGCATTTTATTATAGTTTCGTTATAAACAGGTTCGTTATATCCAGGTTTGACTGTATATACTGTATATAATTTTAATAAAAAAATTTAAATACAATAAAAAAACATTTTATAATTTTTTTATAAATCAAATAATTGGTTTTTATTAAAAAATAGTGCGTGGGGACCGCCTGTTCCTTCAAAAAAAAAGAATTATTATTTATTAAGTTATAATAATACTGTAACAAAAAAAAAGTTGACTTTACGAAATTGTTTGCCATACATCCGTTATACTGAGTTTTCTCATGAAGATTTATGGACACACATCAAGCCTTACAAGAGAATTCTTGATAAACAACTTTGGAATGATCTCAATAGACGTTTCATATTTCCCAATAAACCTGTCACTTCGGTTATTTTACCTGCAAGAACAACAATTGTTCCAAAACTACCAGAAAGAATAAAAGAACCTTTCTCAACGATTATTAACTATGATCATGCCGCAGAAATTTCATCATGGGTTGATCGAATAACCACTACTTATTCATCGAGGGATGTTCCTTATGAGTTTCAATTAATTTTAAGAGGAAGTCGTGATGGATTTAGGCCTCAAACTTTTTGGGATATGTGTCATAACTGCGCAAACACGATTACGATTTTAAAAGTAGCCGGAACAGATGAAATTCTTGGTGGATATAATCCTATAGCATGGGACAAAACAACTAGTGGAGTTTTGGTGAATACAAATGATAGTTTCATTTTTTCATTAAAAAACGGAAATATTCAAAATTCAATTATTTGTCGAGTAAAGAATCCTTCTTTTGCTATACAAAATATAAATTATTCTATTCAAGATGAGTACGGTGCATACTTCGGAAGCGGTGAATTTTGTATGAAGAACACCGTGTCGGATTTCACTAAGGAATCTAAATGTAGCTGTAGAACTGGCTCTTATTATGAAGAAGGGATTACAACAGGAGGATTTTCCATTGTCGATTATGAAGTATTTAGGATGGTTAAGTTGGAAAAACATGCATAAAAAAAAACCATTTGATATTTGTGCACCATGACAAATTTGAGTATATTGTTAATAGCTTGAATGATCTAAAATAAAGAATTGATTCCTGTCAAAGGATTCTAATACTATATTCTTAAAAGTTTAAATTCGTATTGTTATGGGTTAAACTGCTAACATGGGCAGAGACCCGCGTAACAGTAAGCATGGCTACTTTAAATTGATTATTTTATTTAACGAAAGGAAACTTTACCATTTAACCTATTTTCGCCTTCTGCCGTACGCGTTACACGATCTTTTTGACTAGATAGATGTCATGTATAACGTGATTATGTTTTACTAAAGTATAAGTATTAATAATAATAAAATTGTCAGTGATTAAAATTTTATTGTCCGGAGCAAGACGAAGGACATTCAATGTTCAGGTACAGTACTATGAATGGCGAATTTTACACCTTTTCCGTTCATACGTCATTGAAGTCATGTCTCGATACAGTCACCACCCACTTTTCCGTTCTATAAATAAAAAGTTTCGAGCGTAAAGGCTTATGCTCCGGACCCTAATGGTTTGCGTTTCCTAGTAATTATTTAATAAATACAATTACTCCGGAAAGTAATGATGATTATACACGACTTTCATCATACTGTATTTATTTAATTATATAAAAGCCAAATAATATACAAGTAAATATCTATTTTTTGTTAATTATTAATTAATTTGATTTTTTATTTGTTTAAAATATATTTCGAACTTATGAAAATAAAATAACTAAATTATGTAAGAATTTAACAAAATTTAAAAATCAAAATGAATAAAAATATCTTAAATAATTTTTTACTTATTTTAAGATTGCTATCATATACAGTATATATTTTTAAGGCTAAGTTGCGGTACACGCATGGATTTTATTGATGTTATTGCTATCATATATATTAATACTATATAAATTCTATTTATTAGTTGAAATTATTATTAGTATTTTGTTTTTTCAATTTTTAGTTTTTTGTTAATTTTTATTGGTATTAAAATATAACAAACTTTTTTAAAAAAATTTTATTATAAACAATAAATAAATGCGTTTATTAAACTAGAAATAAACTTATTTGAAAAATTATTTATTAAAATACAAAAAATTAATTATATAATAATATTTTAAGCAAATATCAAATAAATTATTTTTGAAAATTAAAAATTAAAAGTATATTTTATTATTAAAAAACTAGTATTTATAAATTAATAAAAAATGATCTTAAGATTATTTAACTTTAATTTTAATGTATAATTTTTTTAAAAGTTTTAAAAACAATTTATTGTAATAAATATTAATTATTTTAATATTAAAATCTATTATTTTTCATGTTTTAAAATTTAAAATTTAAATTATAAAAGAAAAATAAATACTTATTGAAATTTAAGAAGCATATAGTTTATATTATAATATTTAAATTTTTGTTTTTATTTATATTATATATTTTTTAAAAAAATTTTTTTATTTATATTGTTATGAGAAAACAACAATCGACGATATGGCTTAAAAATTGAGAAAATAACAATTGTGCATTATAGAGGTTGTCAAAACAGATAATTGACCCTCAACCTCATTATTTCTTTTATTTTCTTTTATTTCTGTTATTCCTTTTATTTCTTTTATTTCTTTTATTTTTTTTTATTTTCTTTTGCTATAAGAAAAAGTATAAAAACAATGTAAGAAAATATAGTAGAAAGAAGAAGAGCAAAAAAATTAGTCATTAAAAGAATGTTAAAATCAACCTACTTATTGCACTGTTCTGACTAATAAAATCACCTCAAATCCTACAAACTCATCAAATATATGCCTCTTTTTGCCTTTAAGCTCTTCTTGTTATAACAAATACTCTTGTTGAAGTGTTATAAAGTCTAGAATTTCATCGTTACTGCTAATAGACTCCTGATTCATGACAATATAAATATATATTATATACCATATACATTAATTTATTTTAAATATCAGATTAAATAACAAAGAAATAATATAATAATTTCAAAATAATAATATTTTTTTAAAATATTAATTTAATTATATTTAAAATATTTATTAAATTTTAAATATATATATTTATTATATATTATATATTTATAATTAATATTTGATTAAATATTTTATAACAAATTTTAATTATTAACTTAATAAATACAAAATATTATATTTAATAACATTTAAATTTAAAAAATAAATATAACAAATAAAAAAAAATTTTTTTTTTTAAAGGAACAGAAGATTATTCCACTTTATTTTATTATTATAATTTTAAACTTGCAGTACAAGATTTATAACACATTTACAATATAACATATATCTCTCTTTGCTAGAAAGAGTTAAATGCAAGGTTCTACAAATGCAATCTATCCTCTGTACTCTTTAGTATCATTCAAGAATATAGAAAAAAGAAGTTTAAAACCTATATTATGTCTCGAATGGTGTCTAGCTACCTAGAGAAATTTGATACTTAATTACATGAAGGTGCTGCAGTCACTATACACAGGTTGGCCTCCAAGTCATGACTAGGATATAATCAATATTTTATATTTATTTATACAGTATATTGATATAAAAATATTTTAAGATGCTATTTAAAAATTTGATTATATACTGTTATTTTATATATTTTATCAATAAAAAAATTCATTGCTTTTTTTTCATTGTACGTACTGTAGGTTAATTATTTTATTTTATTTTTGTACTCCATTAGCAAATATTCTATATAAAATTGCACATTGATTATATTGTTAATTTTTTTTTATTCGTTCCCAAATGTAGTGCCACATTGAAGACACCATTCTAGAAATAGAACATTGTGAAACTACCACGTGATTATATGATGATAAATATTGCTAGTAAAAATCGGATGGGGAAGTAATTAATTAAATAAAGTAAGGACAAAACGTAATCATCATATAGTGTCTTTTTTTTCTTACAAGAATGATATAGTACTATCGTGAAACTTACCACCTTTTCGTCTATCACTTCGACCTTCTATAGTAATGCAATTGCTAAATCGACTTTTCATAAAAATAATATAAACCCGCTAGGATCATTCGATATTCACGAATTGCGTGCGGGTTCGTATCTTTATGTCATGTGCGTGAACGATAGTTTTTTGTATAATGTAGTAACCGTAATAAAAAATTACTAGGAACAAATCATATGTTACGCATAACCGTTCGATAATCATATTGTACGTTCAATGCCTGTACAGTACGGTAATTATTATTTTTTTTATTTCAAATTAAATAAATTTAAATATATTATTACTTATTAAATAATAGTAGTAATTTAATTTTACATAACAATTATCTAAGTCATCCGAAATATGTGATCACGTTCGATGACGGATCTACCATGTTATTAAATTAAATGTCATCACATTATCTAAAACGCTCGTTAAATATATTTGCCTTATACTCTAAAAATCTCTCTTTCATAATGTAGTAACTTCTGATATCGTCCTTTACTCCTTCTTTCCCTCCTAACTTTCTTATAATGTATCCACACGTTCCTTCCGATTTTTACAAAGAAGATTAAAATAAAATATAAAACAGGGTAGAGTACATTTAACGCATATAATCCAACCTCTGACCGAGATATGATAACATTTTTTGCATGATATTCGCATCCTTTCCTTAATAATTCCCTAGTTTCTGTAATTCCATTGCATAAATCTCCATTGTTAAGAGAGCACAACATAAATGGCCCAGATCTTTCATCAATGTAGGCATATACTGCCGATAATATCAGGGAAATTCTGGAATGGACATATATATACATGAATTATTTATTGTTGTTGTTGTATTATTACGTTATGCGAATGAGACGATTGATATGACTTACATATTGTATCCCGGGTATATCCCTATAAAGAAAAAACTACCAACTGAAAGAAAAGGAAATACATCAATGCGCTCAACCATCTTTGACCTCCAGGTGAATGAATATGTTACTTACATTTTAGCGAACAATACCAGATTATGAAAACTATGCCTTTTGTCATGAATGATCTTGAGTTGAAAATATTGTTATATGATTAGTGAGAAGCTCGAAATTTTACTAAAGAATATGTAAAATTAGAATTTACCTAAAGTCGATTCTAAATTGTTGCATTATCTCTTGTTTAGTGTAAAGTTCCATTTTGAATCTATCATAGCATATTTCTTTTGCCTCGTTTCCGACAACAATTTCATTATACCCTGCAACAAAATTATTATTTTATAATATTAGTAACCAACCGGTTGCGTTATTCGACTCGAGTGTAAAAGAAAATTATGATTACATAAAATAAATCCAACGATTAATGAGAAAATTTCGAAAAAATATGTTATTATGTTAAGGTAGACGTATTCGGATTTTAAAATTCTATTCGGGAAAAGTTTACACATATTGCATTTATACATCATTTTTGCTTTTTTTTATTATTATATAAGGTTCTCAAAAAGAACGTCGACGTTTAATAATCGGATATTATCGAGTATAATCTAGTTTAAGAAATTTAGCAAATGAGAATTGCCGGCAAAACATTACTAAAAATTTTTTTAAAAAAAAAATTCGTCTCACCTTTTATAATATTGTCAAGGTCGTACGAAGTTCAAGGTTATTGTTCCGGATTTTCTTGAGGCCCAAATTAAAAATTGATTCTTTGTCATAGGATAAACTGCTCTTGCCCAAATTACATAATGCATATTGAGGGTCTTATCTGCTAATAAGATTGGTGAATTTTCTTTTCACGTTGCATGTGTCAAAGTGTGTAATCTAAATTACCATCTCATGTAAAATTGAGTCCTGCAAAAACGAATCAAATTAAACCATCCGCTTATTTGTGCTACAATAATATCATGTGATAAAATTTTTATGGTTCTTCCGCATGGTATAATTGATAAACAAAAGTAAGACGTTAAAAATTAGCTTGTTAGAATAACAAGTACTTAAAAAACATGAACAAACATTTGTCGTTTTTATATATTTAATTTATCATATTTGCTTAAAAACAATTCACAATATTATTTTTAATATAATAAATATAGATAAATATTATTTAAATTATATCAAATAAAAAATATATGCTATGATTTTTATAATAAAAATTATGCGAATATTTTTTATTCTTATTTTTATAATGAAAATATAATATTAGAATTGTAAAAAAAGCAAAATTAAAATAAAATAAAACTTATTAAAATTTAATAAATATATTATAATTATGTATATTAACTTTTTTTTTTTCCCATGGATAAACACCAATTCTTTATTTATTCATATATTACAAGGTATACATTTATAAAAAATCAACATCTCTGGGTGCAAAGCATACAACAAGTTTAATGCTAGCCTACCCATTAAAACTATAAATAGCTAATACTGAAAAGAAAATTTTAAAACAATATTGTTGTTAAATATAAGCCAAGCAGTAGCTATGCTTATTTATTTAGAAAAAAAAATATTTAAGATATAAAGAAAATTTGATAAAGAAAAAAAATTTGAGAAGAGAAAAAAAAAATATAAGTAATTAGAACTAAAACAAAATCAAATAAACTATAAAATCTATGAGAAAAAAAATTATATTATCAAAAAAATCTCTGGCCAGGCTCATTGTCCTGTCTCTCTGGTTCTTTGCTACTTGTAAGCATAATCTTTGTTAACATAGATGATAAAATGCATGTGATTTGATTGGTCATTATAGTTGTTGTTATTGTTGTGTTGATATAGTCAGTAGTTGATAAAATAATTGGTTTATAAGCCAGTAATATGATTTTGTTTTGATTGTAGTTGCCAAAACTGGTTTTGTTTATCTTGATTGTTATATAATGTTTTGGTTGTACAAGTTTGTTTTGATGTTTAATAGTATTTGATTGGTTGAGTTTGAAATGATAATTAGTTGACAGAAATAAATTGATTATAATTTTTTAGTATGAAATTTTTTGAATAAAAATTTTTGGATTTTTGTGATACTGCATATTGTGCTAAGCGATAGTAAAAAGTAAATATTGTATATACTGCTAATGCTCCAAGCTGACAATATAAACAATATAGATGTGATATTTGATTTTTTGAGATAAAGAACAGTCCTTCAAGAACAAAAAATAGTTATTTAATAATAATTGTTTCTTGATAAGAAGTATAAATAGAAAGAACTCTAAGAAAAATTTATAGAAGAGTAACTACCATAGGTCTTTCTTTATGCAATTCAAGAAAAAAGCAAATGTTTCAAACTTGCTTTTCCCTAGCCAGAGATTCCATCCTGATGTACCAGTATACTTTCTTGAGTTTCTTGAGATTCTTGTAGTAAAAATATAAAAAGTAAGAAAGACTTTTGAATATTGAAAAGTGATAAAAAAAATTGTTTTTTTAATTTAAAAAAAAATTACTATAAAAGGAAATTTTTAAAAAAAATATTGTGTATAGAAAAGAGTTTTTTTTTTTAATTATATATATTAATAATATTTTGAAATATGATATATAGTATATAATTTCTTTTCAATATATAATTTCTTTGAAATTTTTTTAAATAAAGATCAACTTTTAAAATATAATATACATATACTGTATTATAAGTTTTTAAAATTATATTTAAAAATTATAGTGGTAGACTAACATATATAGTGATATATCTCAGTATCTTAATATTAATTATATAACTTTACTTTGATTATTCTATTAATAAAAATTACAAGAAATATCTCACTTAATATCAAAAAAAAAATTATATTTAAAAATTTATAGTTTAAAATCATTTAAAAATAATTTTTTGAAAATTTTTATTAGTTTTATTTTTAAATTTGATAATTACAAAAAAATTATATACTCTTTATTATATTTAAAGATTTTTATGTTTTTTTAAAAAAATTTAATTTAAGTTTTTTTTTTTATATATAGAATAGTTAATTAAAATAAAAAAATTTTTAAATAATTATAAATTTATTAAACAATATATTTTTAAAATATAAAAATAAATATCTTAAATTTTTAATTTAACAATTTAAAAATTTATTAAAAAATATTATAAATATATTAATATTATAAAAAAAATTTTTATAAAATTTTATTATAATAACATATTAAATTATAATACTGTATATACATTAATAATTTTATTTATTATTTAAGTTATTGTTAAAAAAATATATTATTTAATTTTATATTATCAAAAAATTTTGTTTCTAAAAAATTTTTTAATAAAATTTTTAACAAATTATTTTTAACTTTTTTTTTTTTTGAAGAAATAGGCAGTTCTTGTACTTTATTTTTATTTATAATTTTAGACTTGCAAATTATAAGATTTATAACTCAATAGCACAATATGTATCTCTTTTTACTAAGAAAAGTTTAATGTCAGGCTCAAAAAATAGTTCTTTGCCTAAGCTTCTTGGCACCACTCAAGAATATAAGAAAAAAAAATTCAAACCTATATTATGTCTTGAATAGTATCTAGCTACTTATAAGAATTTAATTACCTAATCATATGAAGGCACTGCAGCTACTATATACAGATTGGCTTCTAAGTTATAACTAGAATTAGCATATTTGCTTTTCAAATATGGTTTAATGTACAGCAAGCCAAATGAGTTTCATCTTATGCTTCATCTGAATAACTTGCTTAAGTAATTAAGTGATTGCTACTCTAGCTAGAATGATTAGTGAAGATTAGTCTTTTATCTAATTATCTAGTATTTGACCTTCTTTACCCTTTTTATGATTGTGACAGATTACAGGTTACCTAAGCCTGTAACAATTACCTACACCTGTAGCAAGTAGGGAAGAGAGCAGCCACTCTTCACAAAAAGCTTCACATATATAACTGCACTATTTAAGTATTTGAGTAGAATTCAGTTTAAGTATAAGATAAGGAAAATAAAGGAAAAGTGTTTAAATATATAATAGTAGTTGTTAGAGAAAGTTGTTAGATGTAATGGAGTTGGAGTTTCTTATAAATGTTGTTACCTAACCTTATACAATAGACCTACATTGTTAAGGGATAAGTGAGAAACTTGCATTGTCGTTACTACCTTTGTTTGCAGGAGTAACTAGAATCTCTGATCATCATATATCACTTTACTAAATTTTTCAATCATCAGCTTGACACCTTTAACTTATTGCTAGTTGCATTGGTATTGATTGCCATATCACTTTAAATATTATAGAATGCAACTCCTTGAAGATTTAAGTGATAATAGTTGTATAACGGTTTCCTAAATGTATCTAGTTTTGCCATTAACAAGTAAACAATACCAGATTTGATAATGATAGCCATGTCAATCTTTTGGAGAAGTAAACTGTCCAGTCTTTTTTTTGAGTATCATGAAAGAAAAAATTTTCCCAAAGCCCACATCTTGAGAGAAGTTACTACTTCTTAATAATAAATAAAAAAAAAATCCATTGGTTAAAGAAGTGATGAAATGAAATAGTATTTTAAAAAGAAGAAGAGGCCTAGAGAGAAAATATCTTTAAGGGGAAGAGAAAATCTAACTTTGGCAGGAAAAGGAATAAAATATAACAAAAGAGTTTATAAAATAAAAGGAAAGAATAAAGAAAGAAAAGAAAAACAAGAAAGAAAAATAGTAGAAAAGTAAGAAGAAGTGAAGAAAAAAGTAAATACTCAAAAGTTTTCTAAAAAGAAAATTTTTAAGCGTTTGAAGAGAGTGGAAAAAAATTTTTTTTTTAATTTTTTTTTAATTTTTTTTTTAATCCTGCAATCAGGTTGGTGTCGTTTATTTATTAAATTATAGAAAACCATTATACATACAAGAATATATATAAAGTACAAATTTCCCTGATCCAACTTACTTGTCTTTAGTTGAAACCTCTAGATACAATTTATGGGGATGATGTATTGTTTTCCTAAAGGATGAGATTAAGATCTCAAACTTCCGATAGGATCAGCACCTGCAGATCACCTCTACAGTAGAGTTTTTTTTTTAAT